CAGAAGTGCACACATACAGACTCATATACATACACTCACATATGTGTGTCCATCACACACACACAATAAACGAATAAACAAATAAATGCAGAAATAAAAAAAAATTAACAAGTAAAATTCACCAGAGGTAATAGCCAGAAGCTGGAAATAACCTAGATGTCCCTCGGTGGAGGAGTGGATACAGAAATTGTGATACATTTACACAACAGAATACTACTCAGCAATTAAAAACAAGGAAATCATGAAATTTGCAGGCAAATGGTGGGAACTAGAGAAGATCATCCTGAGTGAGGTAACCCAAAAATAGACACACATGGTATACACTCATTCATAAGTGGATATTAGCCATATAATATAGAATAAACATACTAAAATCTCTACTCCTAAAGAAGCTAAACAACAAGGAAGACGCCAAGGAAGATGCTCAATCCTCATTCAGAAGGACAAATGCAATAGACATTGGAAGCAGGAGAAGACAGGGAACAGGACAGGAGCCTACCACAGATGGCCTCTGAAAGACTCTAATGATTGAGGTATTGAAGCAGAGGCTGAGACTCATAGCCAAACTTTGGGCAGAGTGCAGGGAATTTTATGAAAGAAGGGGGAGACAGAAAGACCTGGAGGGGACAGGAGCTCCAAAAGGCGACCAACAGAGCCCTAAAAACTGAGCCCTGGGAGCCCTGCAGAGACTGACACCCCAACCAAGGACCATGCATGGAGAGGACCTAAAACTCCTGCTCAGGTGTAGTCCATAGACTTAGTCTCCAAGTGGGTTCCCTAGTAAGGGGAGCAGGGCCTGTCTCTGGCATGAACTCAGTGGCAGGCTCTCTGATCACCTCTCCCTGGGTGATGCAGCCTCGTCAGGCTGCAGAGGAAGACAATGCAGCCAGTCCTGATGAGACCTGATAGGCTAGGGTCAAATAGAAGGGGAGGAGGACCTCCCCTGTCAGTGGACTAGGGGAAGGGCATAGGGGGAGGAGAGAGAGGGTGGAATTGGGAGGAGATGAGGGAGAGGACCAAAGCGGGGATACAAATTGAATAAACTGTAATAAATTATAATAATAAAAGAAAGAAAGAAAAAAAACTCACCAGTAGTGGTGGTACACGCTTGCAATTCTAGCATTTGGGACATGGAGCCAGGAGGATCAGAAGTTCAAGGTGATCTTTGGTTACATATCAAATTTGAGACCAGCCTAGGATATATGAAACTCTGTTTTCAAATAATAGAAACAAAAACTTCCTCAAAGGGAAATTCCCCATCTAAAGCAAGGGATGTTCAGGTGCTGGGCATCTGTTCCCGGAGACCTACTCAAACTGTTCTAACAAAATACCACACACAAAGAGGCGCATAAAAATACCAATCTTACAGTAACAATAAGCAAATAAACCTAGCTTTGTTTGTTTCTTTGTTTGTTTTTAACCCACATCCCCCACAGTCCTAGGGGTTAGGTGCCCCAGCATCCAGGTTCCAGCAATCAGGTGTCTGGTGAGGGCCAGTTCTTGGCTCATAGATGGCGCTGTCTAGCTATGTCTGACGACGTTCAAAGCAAAAACTTTCCCTGGGGCTCCTTCTATAAGAATCCCAGACCTGTCCTTACAGACCTCATTCTCTCCCAGAGACTCCCCTCCTATCATTGTCTCTCTCTCTCTCTCTCTTTTTAATTAACACAGATTACTTTTTGTGGCAAATTTCTAAAAATCAGAAAAAGCCTGTTAATCTAATCTAACCTAACTGTCCCAAATTCTATTTACATTCCTTCAAGTTATTATATTTCATCTAATACTAGAGGCTTCTAAAGCACATGGGAATAACTGGGACTCGTTAGAGCTTCTGTGGATCAAAGCATAAAAATATAAAGAAGCCATCCATATACATTTAAACCATATACAACCCTTATAGATCACCAGTGACACGTTGGGAAAGGCTCACAGCATATGTGTGTGTATACACACCCATGCACACATACATAAATGTAGTTTTAAAATTAAAAGAAGAGAATATAAGATTTAAATTTAAATTTAAATTGAATCTTTGCAACAATTATGATCGCTTTCGCTTTTGCCTTTTTTTGGGACAGGGTTTCTCTGTACAGGGTTCCTGGCTGTCCTGGAACTCACTTTGTAGACCAGGTTGGGCTCAAACTCTCTTGAGGTCTGTCTGCCTCTGCCTCCGGAGTGCTGGTACTAAAGGGGCTCGGGCCACCACCTGGCTGCAATGATTGATTTCTATTCTAGAATTCTCAGAAGGGCCCTGTTCCTGATAGAAACTGCAGTTCTGCTGCAGCCATGTGCTTCCTGCTTCTGTCCTACCTCCCTTAAGAGCAACGCCTCTTAGTTCTCCTTTAGGCTGGCAATATCGTCTCAATTTTAGCTGTGTGTCTCTGTACTGATAGTGATATCTGGACCCTTTTCTAGCTGAGGAAGCCACAGGTAGTCTCCCACAAGATACTTGCACCCCTGTCCTGGGCCTGGGCCCACCTACTCATAGAGGGGAGGGAAACTTGATACTAGGTTGAGGATCAAGTTGCAAAAGTCCTTTATTATCATTTCTGGTTGTGAGCCAGCTGAATCTTGGGGGGGGGGGGAGTTCATAGGGCATTTGAAAAGACCCCGGGTCACAGTTGGCTTCAGCATTTGTGATAGCTTCATGGCAATGAGCTGAAAACTCAAAACTGAATCCAAATAAAATTGTTGTACCCTGGAAGAGACCAAACCCCAAACTACAATAGGAGGTAAAATAAACCAACCTAATATAATCTTTTGTTTGATTGTTTTTGTCTGACACAGCGTCCCGCTATATAGCCCTGGCTGGCCTGGAATTCACTATGTAAACCAGGCTGGCCTTGAACTCACAGTGATCCACTTGCTTCTGGTTTCTGGGTGCTGGAATTAAAGGCATGTGCCACCATATTTGGCCTAACATCGTTATATTGATGGTTGAAACACATTCACTTCAGGAAGGACTGAACAAGTGGGTCCCTGTCACGCACTTTCCAGCCTGTCTGCCCTAACTGGTGAGATGCAGGCTAATGAGAGACCCTGTCTGAAAGGAAGGAAATGATTCTCTTGAGGATTATCTCCCCACCTTTACACGCACCCTTCTACCCAAATGCACACATGCACACGCACGCACAGACACACACACACACACCTCACAGTGTGTTCATTTCAACACATGAATTTGAGGGCACAGGAACATCTAGTCTATTAAAGCAGCCAAAAGCAATGCTGTGACCAGGACCATATGCCAGGTCAGTGACCTAAGGGACTGAAAACCAGGAGTGACATCCTGGCTCAGGCGACAACAAGGGCACGTGTATCTCACTCAGAGAGACCAGGACTATGGTAGGACCTTAGGAGGCGTATGGGACGGTCCTGGAGACACCAGGAAAGAACTCAGGGGTCTCACGAAGGGTGCATACTTCGAACAAGGGTCTGGGAACCTCAGGAGCTTTGAGAGGCAGAGCTCACCTAAATGACCTACGGGGGAGACCAGAAGCTTTTGTTCTGGTTCAAATCAGCCTTTGTTCTGGTTCCCCTTAGTGCCTCAAAGCTCTAAGCAAGCCTCTCCTAATGCCAGTCAGCGAGCCTCCTGCTGCCAGTTATCTTGGCAGAATGTGTCACCTGAGTCTTCCCTGCTAGGGCGTGCTCTCCCTGTCTTTCCTGCTAGAGATTGTAAGTGGAAGCAGCTGTGATGGTTTGGGCTGAGCAGCTGCATTTAGCAGGGGCTGGGGAGACTTGAGAAGGCTGCCCTCACCTGATCTGGAAGCTGGGGACGAGGGTGGAAGAAAAGCCCGTTTCTTGGTTGTCTGCTTCACTGGGGCAGCACAGCAGAAACCCCTCGTTGTGTTTTTAAATCGCACTTGAGGTTGCAGCAAGTGCCTGGCACCGTCAGATCTTCTGAGCATCTCTGGCCTTAGGCTGCCCATTTTTCCTTTCCAGAACAGGTTTTGTTACATGCCCAAAATCACCCCATAGGCAATTGGAAAGCCAGGATTTAAACCCAGGCCTGAGCTTATGGCACACCAAGGAAGCCTTGGCAGGGAAGGAGGAGGCCGGCACAGCTGGCACTACCCACAGCATGTTCCTGTCCATTCCAGAACATCCTAGGGGGCTTTCCCCATTCTGAGGAGGAGGGTGTGACTTGTAGACCTGAGTCAGACTACAGCCAGCATGTGAAATCCTTTGGGAGGAATCCCTGAACTAGTTCTACTCCGAGACTCCCTCCTTGGGGAGGCTGTAAGTCTCCAAGGGCAGGGGAGAATCCATTCCAGAGGCTGCAGCTGCCCTTGGCCGGCTGTACCAAGAAACCACTGAGTTCTCCCTCCCTTAGTCCAGAAACCACAAGCTCTGTCAGAAGCAGGCAGGCCACCCATCCGGAGGCCCCTGGGCAGAGTGTGCCAGGGTTCTCCGCACGCTCCAGCACCCGACCACCCTTGCTGCACAGACCTGTTCACATCCTATGCTGTCTATTACTCAACTCTGGAGTCAACAGAGCCAGCCACAGGTGGAGACATTTTCCAAGCAAGCATGAACACTTTGCAGCGGGATAGAGTGGGGTGGCTTACCTCTATATTAGTAAGTTCAAGTACACAAGCACAGACAAGAAGGGACTTGCTGTGGGGTAAACTCTTCAAACTCAGGGACTGTGTGTGGCTGCCCTCCAGGTAGCCTGTCATCATGAAACCCAGCGTCCAGGCACACACTGCCCCAAAAGCTCTTTTGACTGTCTGGTGCTCAGAATCTCGACTGGAACCTTGAGGGCATTTGATAACTGCTTGGTGGCTAAAGGACTGTAAGTGAGAGTGTGTTTTGTTTCCAACAGAGGGGCATCTACTCTGCATTCTCCTCTCCAGCACACCAACCCCTGTCCTACCTAAGACTCATTGCCTGGCCACCCTCCCATGTCCCCCAGTCCCTGCTGGATGTTGCTCAGCTTCCCCAAGCTTTGCTCTCCTCCCCACCTCAGGTTAGCAACAAGGAATCACACAACAACCTGATGGGGCTAATTTCTCAGTAGCTTTATTGAATAGAGAGATGTCTCATCATCTTGCGCAGGACATGTGTCCTCCAGCTGGTACAAGAAGTGCTTAGGGACAGATTGACAGACAGGTTGTGGGGCAGGGCAGGTGTCTGTGGCTGTGACGGGCTGAGAGCACCAGGGACAGCTCAGCTCTCCAGCGGGCTGGACTGTACCTGCTCCTGGACCTGCTCTGGGACCTGGAGGGACAGGGGCTGGTCTGAGCTCTCCTTTTTCTCCAGGGTTCCCATAAAGGAGTTGACCTTTTCCCTGAGGCTCTTCTCCAGGAAGCTCAAGTGGCTCTCCACGTCCCCCGAGTTGGAGCCCAGTTGCTGCCTGAACTGCTCCATTTGCTGTACCAGGGCCTTGTTGAACATCTCCCCCAAGGGCTCCACGGTGCGCCGGAACTCCTCCACCTGCTGGTCCAGCTGTCTGTTCAGGTCCTCCAGAGACTTCTGCAGCCCCTCCGTGTTGCCCTTTAGCTTGCTGCGTACATCTTCCACCATCGGGGCCAGCTTCTTCTGCAGCTGGTCGATGTTGGCGGAGACCTTGGTCTGGAGCTCCTCGGCGTTCTTCTTCATCTGGAAGGCTAGGCCCTCCAACTGGTGGTTGAGTTTCTCCTGCACACCCACTGCAAGAGGGGCCAGGCCGCGGCGCAAATCCTCCAGGTTCTGGTCGATTGTGGCCTTCAGCTCGTTGGCTTGGGGGATCAGGCGCCCCTTGAGCTCTTCCACGTTCTGGTCAAACTTCTCCTTTAACTCATTGGCAACGGGCATCATGGAGGCCTGCAGGTTGTCTACATTCTCCTGCACTGTGGCCTGCATTTTCAGCATGTAGGGAGACATCTGGCGCTTCAGTTCCAGCACCTGCGTGTTGACCTGCGTTTTCAGGTCCACCATGAAGGGCCTCAGGTGCTGCTGCAACTTCTGCACATTGTCCCCGAACGTCTGGCTCACCGTGTTGGTATGGGGCATCATGCGGTCGCGGAGCTCCTCCAGCTCCTTCTGAATCTCTCGCTTCGCGTTCTCTGCATCCTTGGCTAGGCGTTCACTCAGTTCTAGGGCAAAGGGAACCAGCTTCTGCAGTTCATCAGCATACGAATTCACGTTCCCAAGGTTGTCCTGGAAGAGGGTACTTCAGGGAGGGGATGTAGAGAAAGAAGCGCCATTACACTTGGCATTAGATACATTTGTAGAACGCTCAGCTCTGTCACCTGCCTGGGTCAGGAGGGTGTCCTTGGGAATTGAGACCTACATCTTGTCCCTGTGGCCCTCTCTGGGGTGGGTCATGCTTTCAGGAAATCCACTATGATTTTAGTGTGACTTTGGCTTTTTATCTGCAAGGGTTCTGCTGAGTCTCAGCCTCCTTATCTCCCCACCATGTGACTCTGAGAACTTTGCTTTCCTTTCCTTGTGGATAAAGAATAGGACTGGACTTTGACATCTCTCCCAGCTCAGGGTCACATTGTGCAACTATCTTCCAGGGGCACAGGGTTCTGATGTTCTTGCATGTGCTCCAAGGATCCCCAAATACCCCAACCCCCTCCCTCCTGATTGCAACAGGCGCCTCGTGTCCTCAACGGGACGTGTCTCCCTTCTCTTTGTACCAAGAGCTTCTGCTGGGATTTGGCTATTTTACCAAACTCTAGCACACAAAAATAGGAAGATACTATAAAGATGGGTCACTGGTACCAATTTCCCTGTTTACAGGGAAGCTCTAGCTCCAGAGAGACTCGAATCCCTCTAGTGAGGAGGGAAGGATTCCCAAGTGCTGATGTCCCAACCCTAAGGTCAGCTGTGACCTTCAGGAAAGCCTAGCCTTGCAGGCTGGACCCACTCACTTGAGCTGCTGGGTGACATCTGACTTCTGGAGTTGTTCCACAGCCTCCTTGGCATTATTGCTTATCTGGGTGAAGTAGTTCCACATCACAGTGGCCACCTGGTCAGCATTGACCTCAGCCTTGGTGCCTGGGTGGAGAGCAAAAAGCACATAAGTCATGAGGGTACATCTCTCTCTCTTGGACCCCTGCCTCAGCTCTGAGCTGGGGATAGCCCAACTCTTTTTCCATCTCTGGACTCACCCAAGGAGTGCCAGTGCCAGCAAAAGCCTGTTCTCCTGTGAGCTGCTGGGGGAGACCGAGGCTACCCAGAGTCGCCCACTAGTTCTAGAGCTGGCTCTCCTTGCCGCCTCTCGTGTGCTGCAACGGCTGGAGAGCTGTGTCTACTCACCAGTGACAGCCACCAGGGCCAGGGTCAACACCACAGCCTTCAGGAACATCCTGGGCTCCTCTCTGGGCTGGGACAGTCTCAGCCAAACTGGATGGAAATGTTCTCCTGGGTCCCTGTGAGGAATGACTCCAGGCGGAGCCAGCCACACATTTAAAGCCCATCCAGCCCTCTTTCCCCGCCTCCTCCCCAGGGTGACTCCACGTTGGAAGGTGACACTCCCAGGAGACCTCTTGGACTTTAGTGACCCTAAGACAACGTGGAAGCTGAAGACACACAGGCAGCAGAGGGAAGCAGCCCTTGCTGGGCTAGCCCCGCCCTCTACAGGAGGCTGAGAGGGATAGCCAGGAGCTTCAGGAGGCACCAGCCTGGGAGTCTAGGGGACTTCCTGAGCAGGACTGAGGCCCCAGGGGCAGCCCTGTTGGCAGTCCTGGGTCTGTGCCAGGCTAGTGGAACAAGGTACAGGTCTCCTTTTTCCACTCCAGTGAGACAGACAGCTCCCACTTTGACAGCTGCCATCAACCCAAACTCTGTCTCATAACATCCACTACAGAGATGGTGCTAGGCCCATTCAGGGCTGCAGCAGGCAGTGAACATCGAATTAGGTGTCTGTGATAACCTTGGGCAGGAGAGGATCAGAACCCAGGATTAAAGGGGTTCATGGTGTGTGCTCTTATGACTCTTAAGCTGGGCCACCTCAGTCTAGTTATCTGAAGCCTCAGTTTCTCCTTTGAACAATGTGTAGTTTGTTATGTTAAGTAATGTGGCACTTGTGAAGTGGGTGCAGGGGGCTCAGCCCACAGTAAGTGCCAAAAACAATGACAATGATTTTCTATGTGGGTCAGAGCCAGGAAGGTAGGAGAGAAGCTGATCCTCTCCAGAGAGTGGCAAAGGGAGAGCCACCCTTTCCCTCAGAGGGTCACCAAGTGGGCTAGAGGCAACAGTAGGTGACAGACACTGCTGTGAAAAGTGCACTGTGACCTCCCATTGAGACTCCAAATGTGTCCACACAAACAGTTGCAGACGACAGACATCCACAGGAAAGGTGCCAGGCTGTGGTCAGTGTGTGGCCTCGATACACTAAACCAGGGACTACATGATGACACCCATCATATCATCCCGTTGGCAGCTGTCCACAGATATTTGTGAAATGAGAAAATGAGAGCCATTAGAAGAGACCACAGTTGTGCCCGGCTGACTTGCTGTGTTGCCATCTTTTTATTTTTTATTTTCCTGAGACAGGGTTTCTCTGGCTGTCCTAGAACTCACTCTGTAGACTAGGCTGGACTAGAACTCAGAGATCCACCTGCCTCTGCCTACTGAGTGCTGGGATTAAAGGTGTGCACCACTACCACCCGGCCATTTTTTTTTTTTTTTAATGTGTCCAGACTGGCTTGTCTTATGGGACTGAAGTCAGCTAAATGCCCTCCTGCTGAGTCCCCGCCACACCACCACGATCCCCACAGCTTCCTCCAGTGGCCAGGATCTCACTCCTTTCCAGAGCAGCCATGCTTAGTGAGTTTTAAAAAATCAATTTATGCCGTGTGTGGTGTCCCATGCCTTTAATCCCAGCACTCAGGAGGTGGAGGCTGGTGGATCTCTGTGAGTTCAAGGCCAGCCTGGACTATGGAGCGAGTTCCAGTATAGCCAGAGCTCCACAGAGAAACCCTGTCTCAAAACCAAATAAACAATAAATAAAGAAATAAATGCAAATTAACAGATTTATTTGCTAATATTTGGTGTGGGTGGATATGCATACATCATAATAATGTATAGAGGTCAGATGACAACTTGAGGAAGTCTGTTCTCTCCTACCATTTGGGTTCCAGGATAATGAACTGATGTCATCAGGCCTGGTGACTTTACCCCACTGAGTCATCTTGTTGGTCTTTCAGTGTTTTCTGACTCCCTGGGTTTGCACCTGAATTCCACACAGACTGTAGTGTATGGCCTTGGACAAGTCTCATAAGTCCCTTGGGTCTCGCTTCTGAAGGTCCTGGGAGATGATCTGGCTCCCAGTAGGCTCCCACCAAATGTCAGCCATGTCTTGCCTCTAAAAGGTCTCTCCACTGTACCATCGACCCATTGGTCCCCATCCTGCTTTACCAAGCTAGGCCTGGTCCAGCCTGTGCTGGGCCCAAAGGGCAGAAGTGATGGGGATGAGTCACGTGGGACAGCTCAGCTACAGCTCCACCCCATGGACCTACAGTCTGAGTACCAGGTGCCACCAGCGTGGGACAGGTGCAGAGGTGCTTGCCCGTTTGTATCCTTTCTGAGAAGACCCGTCTGTGTTACCTAAGCTCGTTCACGGGTGGCTGCCAGTGATGGTCGGACAGCTTTGTGTAGGTATCTGAGTTTTCCACGGGCACAGAACTTGGCTCTGTGCTAAAAGACTGAGGCCTCATGCATGCTGTGCGCCTAGCACTCATGCATGCACCAGCCCTGGCAGGGAGGGTATGTGGCCTCCTGGCGTGGCATAAATGAGCATATTGACTTCTCCAACAGTGAGGCATGCTTCATAGGCAGCTGCAGGTAATTTGTACAGGTGTCTGGGGAAAACGAGAATGCCCATGTCCCAGCTGCTGGGGAAAAGAATAAACGGCCCCCAGCCTCGGGCACAGAGGATCAAGTGGTCTTGGCACTCATGTCTCTGTCTGACCTTCATCTTCTTACTTGGGCTCATACAGAGTCCATGGCCAGTGAGGCTCATAGCTATATACCATCTACCTAGAGCAGAGCCCCAGGACTCTTGTGCACCCAACCTGCTCTTAGCCAAACAGAAGTGGGCTGGCAGTCCACCCCTGAGGGCCAGCCAGTCTCAGTCCAACCATTCGAGACTTCTTCCCCACTGTGATGCTCAATTTGACAGAATCTTGAATCACCTGGGAGCAAGGTCTTTGGTGAGGGAGCCTAGACTATGTAAAATGAAGCTAGTGAGCTGAGCTGAGAACTAGTATTTCATGGCTCTTTGCTTTTAATTGTAGATGTGATGTGACCAGCTGCTTCAAGCTCCTGCCACGGTCACTTCCCCATGTGTGAGGCAGGATAAACCCCTCAACTTGTTTTTCTCAGGATACTGTATCATAGCAACAGGAAAAGAAACTATGGTACCCACCCAGAGCTGGTTCCTCCCTGGGCCTGGGTTTGCGAATCAAGAACAGAGTCCTCTCCCAAGAGGACTCTAGGCCAGAAAGCCACCAAGAGGCCTCCTCCTAAGGCCCAAGCTGGATGGTTGAGAGGACACAAGTACTTTGGAAGGGGCTAAGTCCCAGGCCCAGGTCTCAAGGTATCTCCTGCATGCCAGCTAAGTTCTCCGTGCAGCTGAGTATCCCACTGACAGGCAGCTTTTGACTTTTCCTGACTCTGTGGCCATGTTCTGTACAGGGGTGATGGCAGGCTTCTAAAACCCTCCACACCAATGGATAATGACCCCGTTAGCCTGTTACAGCATCTCAGAGCCAAGGACCTGGTACCACACCCCAGGCTGGGATCTGATTCCTGTTGTGCCCTTTGCCTCAGGGCAAGAACCAGGCTGAGGAGAGAAAATGACATAACAGCTCTCTCCGCCACATGCAGTGCCCAATCCTGGTACCTCCTAATCACCTTCCTTCCATCTCAGCTTCAGCAAGAACTTTTCTCAGAGCACGCTTAGGTATAAATGGCTGCCAAGAACTAGCTCAGGTGCTAGAGCCCAGGTCTCCCGTCACTGGGTGATATGTGTTGAGTAGACCTCTCTCCACTGGGCCTTTGCTTTTCAGCCATAAAATTTAGGTAGCAATGTCTAAGTCACAGGATTCGGACAACTTACATTTGAACGGAATATGAACTATTTTTCATTTTGTCTTTGACATAGAGTCACAGTAATCCAGGCTGACCTCCACACACATGCTCTTCCTACCTGTTTCCTGAGGCTGTACTCATGAGCAAACACAATCACAGCTACCCCAGACAACAGTCTTATGCCAAAAGAATGACTTTCTGACAGATGAGTTTCAAATCTCAGCCAAAGATAAAGAATTCAGAGGGCAAAGCCAAGCTCCTTTCTCGGGTTGAGATTTCATACATAGAGGACGCTGCCTGCTACGAGGCCTGAATTCTGCACAGATACCTCCTCCTGTGTCTGGCTGGGCTTTCAGTGTGGAGGAGGCAGGGAGATGGTGAGTCCTTTTCTGCTGCTGTATGTTTCTCCACACTCTGAGAAATCAGCATCCTGTCCCCATTAACAGACAGGTACATTTCTGACCACAGACCACATGAGTCAGTGTCAAAGGCATCAGTTCCTTATTTGTTCGTGTGTGTGTGTGTGTGTGTGTGTGTGTGTGTGTGTGTGTGTGTGATATGCATGCCTGTGGAGGCCAGAGGTCAGTTTCAGGCAGGATTCTTCTACAACTGTCATACTTGCAAGACAAGCATTTTGCCCAAGTGGGCTATTTCCCCCACCCCAAAGGTATCATTTAAACCTAGGATTTCATTGCCAGGGGTGGGGTAGGGCAATGCACAGCTGTAATCCCAGCACGCAGGAGGAAGACGGATGGATCTCAGTGAGTTCAAGGCCAGGCTGGTCTACAGAGTGAGTTTCAAGATAGCCAAGGCTAAACAAAGAAACCCTGTTTCGACAAGAAGAAAGAAAGAGAGAAAGAAAGAAAGAAAGAAAGAAAGAAAGAAAGAAAGAAAGAAAGGAAGGAAGGAAGGAAGGAAGGAAGGAAGGAAGGAAGGAGGGAAGGAAGGAAGGAAATAAATCCTGGGATTTCTTGGCTCCAAAGTCTTTGAACCCAAAGACGATGTGCTCTGGGCTGTAGTTCTCAGTGCTTGCTCAGGGACATCTCAGTTTCAAGAAGCCTAAGGTCCCTCTTGGGAAGCTGTCTGCCCCATAGCACCTCCTTTACCCTCACCTTTGTGAATGGCCTGTCTATATCTTGCTGCTTCCAGGTTCTCACAGCCAGCGGTCATGTAGGGGTCAGATCTTATCGAGCCGTGAGCCCTGCTCCCATCCCAGGATACTATCAACGGGTCCAGAGGGCAAGATGAAGCATATGGCGGGGGGGGGGAGCAAAGGCCTTGGGCTTAGCATGATCTTTGTCCTGCTCTCACCAACCCCTGCCCACAGATGACAGAGGAGACTGTTGGGAACGTAGCCATGGGTCAATGTCTAGGGGGACCTAGGTGCCAATTCCCACCTCAATTCTGCCTTTGCTAGTCTACGGCTACACCACAGATTTTGTTCTTCCATGAGGCTTTCAAGTGGCTTCTGTGAATAAGCCTGTCACTGGCTCTAGGCTGTTGTCTGGGCTTTGCTGGGAGAGCTGGGTCTGTCAGGTGTGAAGGCCTAAAGTTGGCTTGAGGTCTGAGGCTTGTCCCTAAACCTTTCTCTGTCTCACCAGCCTCATCTAAGGGAGCCAGTGGCTGAGCCCTTGGTTGTGGAGGTGGAGGTGAATAGCATGGGCAATCTTGGAGGATTTCTCAATTCCTCTGGCAGCTAGCTGCATGGCCTCTCTGCCTCTGGCTCTGGTCTGAGCTGCTCAGCAGGTGACCTTTGGCCAGCTCGCTGTACCTTCAGTGCCCGCTGTCCCATCCTGGGCCGGTATAAAGCAGGCCAGAGCCCTCCCCGCTTGCCGCTCAGTTTATCCCTAGAAGCAGCTAGCTACTCCAGGTAATGTGAAGGGAGGGAGGGAACAGAGAGCTGGAGGAAGCTCTTGCTACCCTGCCAGCTGGCCTACATAAGGCTCAGGATCCAGGAGTGGTCTCCACTTTTGAGTTCCTGGCGGGTGGGGAAGGGCTAGAAGCTGAGGAAAGGGAGGCCATTGGGTCAATGGCATCTGCCTACTATGAATCCTCACCCCCAGGTTTTCCACTGAGCGGTAGCAGAGCTGACTGGAACTGGATCATGCTGTTCCTTGCTCGGCATGCTCTAAGCAATTACAAGCCTTTGATATCCGTGCAAACCCCAGACAGAAACACTGAGGTTTAGAGGGGGGCAGAAATTTGATGTCTCCCAGTACATCAGGGCAGAGAATGGGTAGATGTCCTGCTCTGTAGAGGGTTTTTATACTCCACCTTCCACCCTACCCTGGAGCCTGGGTCTCCTATAGTTCCCTGTCTGAGAGCTGATACCAATACCAGTAGCAGAAAAGGCTTGGGCTTCACTGCAGGGGCCATGGTGTCCTCCAGAGAAGGGCTTTGTTGCAGCAGATCCTCTCACAGTATCTTCTCACAAGATCATCTCCCGCAGGTGCGTAGGTGCCATGCAGCCCCGGATGCTCCTTATCGCGGCCTTCTTGGCTCTCCTGGCATCTGCCCGTAAGCTGGTGGGGAGTGGGCTGGGCTTTCTGGGGGAGCTGTTCTGGTAACCCTTCCCTAGTAAGTGGAGGCTGGGAGAGCTGGCATGGCTCAGCTCTGCTCTCTTGCAGGAGCTAAGGAGACAGAGGTGCCCTTGCTGCTGGTCTCTGTGCAGAGCTACATGAAACAAGCCACCAAGACGGTCCAGGACGCACTAAGCAGCGTGCAGCCGTCTGAAATGGCTGCACAGGCCAGGTATGCTCACTGGCCTCTTTTTCTGTTCCCTCTCCCCTCACCCCTGCTCTGGTACTGAGACCCTGGCACAGAGACTGTGCCCCCCACCCCCCGCCAAGTTTATCAGGGCCTGGGCCTATCTGAACTTCTGGTCCCTCATGGGGCCTTCACTGGATACTGTGCTGAGATGACAGCAAAGCCCACAGCCCTCCTCTGTCTACTCTGCTTCTCCTTGGAGCAGCCTGAGGATCATTTAGCCCTTGCTGTAGGTTTTCTTCTCTGAGCGAGGGACCAGGGGCTGGCCCTGGGAGGCCTACCCGACCTACTTTCAGCCTGTGTTGCAGTTCTGCCCTGTTTCCAGCCCTGGGCACAATCTGAGTTAGGTGTCTCTCTGCCCCACTATTACTCCTCACCCCCACCTCCATCCCCAACCCCCACCCTCAACAATGGCTTTGCTTGACATTTGATAGTTACTTACGTAGCAAAGAGACGTTGACAAACATTCCTTGTCCCCAGAGCAGGCTGTAGGGAGGGTATTTTCTCCCCAGGTTTGGAAATGAGAAAACTGTGGGTCAGGGAAATGAGGTGACCTGCCCAGGTCACATAGCTCAGGGACCCTCCAGTAATTTTTCCACTGAGAGGCTGCTCCCCAACCCCTACCCCACTCCCTTAGAGCCACCAAATGGGACACCTCTGGGACACTATTTGTATGGACTATCAAGGCAAGCTGGCCTTAAGTGTCCACATCTCCAGTGCTTGGTGCCTCAGGCCCAAGAGGGGTTGGTTAGTTGGGGGAGGGGGCAGCCATGAAGGTCTGAGCCAACCTTGATGAAGGTGAGCTTTCTTGCCTCTTTTCCATCTCTTCTGTCCTGGGAGGTGGCTGCAGGCGATTCTGGCATGGTGCTAGGTGGCTTAGAGAGCCAGTGGGCCCCTGGCAATGCGTCTGTCTTGGGAACTTTTCACACACACCTCTATGGATGCCTCTTACTGCTTTATCCCTCAGGGGCTGGATGGACAATGGCTTCAGTTCCCTGAAAGGCTATTGGAACAAGTTTACGAACAAGTTCACTGTCCTCTGGGGTCCTACCCCTGAGGCCCAACCAACTCTAGAGCCTGAGCCTTGAGACCTCTGTGTCCCAAATGTGCCCATGCCCCCATCCTGCTGCCTCCCCCGGGGGTCTTTCAGGTGGCCCCTGAAGGTTGCTTTAAGGGGAAAGTACTCTCATGTCTTCACCCCTCTTCAGACCTCACCTGAACATGCTGCCTCTAATAAAGCTGTATGAGAAGCTGCCAAAGGGGGTGTCCTATGTGCCTTGATGTCTGGGCATGGGGATGAGCTAGGCCTGTTGAATGGGTGGGTTTGGGGCTTTACCTCATTGGCCACTTGGGGGTGTTTATTCTTTTGTAAGTAGGACTAGTCCTGCCTACCTGCTTGATTTGATGGGATTGTGCAAAAGATCAAATCAGGGAACAGACTTGCAATCACAGTCTGGGATACGATGTGACTTGAGAGTGGCTTCTGTCCAGCTAGCACTTTTATGTCACCTTCAGAGTTAAGGTCAGATGAGAGCACCAAACCTGTGCAGCTGGATTGCATGGCCCAGGCTGCCTGGTTCGTTCATTCATTCATTCATTCATTCATTCATTCATTCATTCATTCATTCTTCATTCATTCATTTGGTTTTTGGAGACAGGGTTTCTCTGTGTTTCCCTGGCTGGCCTCGAACTCACAGAGATCCACCTGCCTCTGCCTCCTGAGCACTGGGATTACAGGCATCTGGCTGCTGCTTCCATTTCTTAAGAACAAAGTGGGGGGAGGGGACTGGAGAGATGGCTCAGAGGTTAAGAACAGTGGCTGTTCTTCCAAAGGTTCTGAGTTCAATTCCCAACAACCACATGGTGGCTCATAACCATCTGTAGTGAGGTCTGGTGCCTTCTTCTGGTGTGCAGGTACACATGCAGGCAGAATAATGTATAAAAAATAAATAAATCTTAAAAAAACAAAACAAAGTGGGTATGCTCTGCCCCTCCACTGCAGGTTTGCGCCACTCGACTGGCTAAAATTTTAAATATTTTAAATTATACTGTGTGTGTGTGGCCCATGTATTGAAGTCAGGTTCTCAGGTTTGGTGGCAAGTGCCTCCACCCAGCCCAATGTAATAAAAGTTTTGTTTTTTCTTTTTTTCTCTCTCTCTCTTTCCTCCTCCTCCTCCTCCTCCTCCTCAGCCCAATGTAATAAAAGTTTTGTTTTTTCTTCCTCCTCCTCCTCCTCCTCCTCCAGAATAACACATCCTGTCCCACCTTTCCTCTCACTGACTAACTTCGGACCTCCCAGCTTCAGCTTCCCCAGCTGAGGTATACTTAAAGGCATTCAGGCTTTAGAGATGGCCATGAAGGCCTCTCTAATAAACGTGGCAAAGTGTGTATCCAGCCGGCAGCCGCTGTGACTCTGTCTTCCACAGCCTGCCAGTTTCTGGGTGGGGAAACTGCACAGCCGTCTTGCCCCAGGGAGAAAGAAAAGGAAGGTGTTCGCTGAGACATCGGGGTCAGTGAATGAGCTCCAGGCATTTTCTCTGCACCTGCCCAGTAATTCAAGTCTCTATAGCTCCTTAAGGAATCCTGGCTCTAGGGCCCGTGTGGATCCCATCTAGACACACTCCTTGCACAAGAGACCTGTCCTCTCAAAGCCAGCCCTATTACCAGCCACTCCCAACTGGGTTACGGCACTTTTCAAGGGCCTCCCTGTAGTTTTGCCTGGCTACCTATTTCCCTCGGAACCTTCTTAGGAGAGCGATTCTGTCTCACACTCTAAACCAGCTAGGCGCCCAGCTTGAGTGAGCTCGGAGAGCCGAGTAGCCCTACACGAAGGAATCCCCACTGCAGCACCATGTTCTCGCGTCCCTGGATGTCCCCTTAGCGTCCTCTCTGTCCCCCAAAGAAAGAAGCTATCCCACTTTGGAAAGGTTTATTGTAAGAAAGCCAATGCAGGGGTGGGGAGCGGAAGCGGGCGCCTCACTGGCCGCTAATCTTCTGGCTGGCCTCTTCGACAATACTCAAGAATCTGGTCTTAAAGCTCTCCAGCACAGGCATCAGGCCCTGGCGCAGGTCCTCCAGCACGGGTCTGGTCTTGTCACCAAGCGCCCTCAGTTGTTCTCTGGCCTTGGTTTGGTAGTCCGCCAGGGTGGGGCTGTTCTTGAGCTCTGCCAAGCGCTGGGCCACGTGCTCGCGCATGTTTTCGCTGTAGGGACCAAAATCTCTGCGCAGCGCGTCTACACGCATGCGCATGCGGTCACGAATGTCCTCGCCTATAGGGACCAGCTTACTTTGCAGGGCCTGCAACTTCTCGCGCGCCTCCTCGCGCAGCTCGAGGCCCAGAGGCTCCACCTTCTGGCGGTAGAGCTCCATCTCCTCCTGCCACTGGTCCTGGAATTGGTCCAGGTAGGGCTGCACCTTCTCCTTCACTTTCTCCAGGTCCTTGTTCAACTCCAACCTTAATGCATCTGTGTCCTTTTCCAGGTTTTTCCAGAACTCTTCAGTCACCGGGCCCAGCTGTTCCTGCAGATGACCAATGGTCGTGCCCAAGGTGTCCCAGTTCTCCAGGAGATTCATGCTGGAGAGTGAGAGAACTGTTGAGAGATGGCCCCAGGTATCCTGCACTGCCCCAGGTCTGCAGACCTGTGATACGTGGGGTCAGTCCTGGGTGCCATCTCTCCCCAAATGTGCAGCTGCTATGATCCCAGTTTCCTTGAACATGCGCCCCTCTAACTCCCAACCTTCCCCCCACATCCCCTTTGTACACAAGGCCTGCGGCACCAAGGACACAGTTGGGGTTGGTGCTGACCAAAACCGGGGGTTACCCGAAGGAAGGGATTTTGCACAGGGGGTGTGGTTACCCAACAGCCACACGAATCCCATCCCTATTCCTCCATTGGAACCTGCCGCGGTGCCCAGCTGGTGGGAACGCAGGTGAAGATATCGTCAGTTGCAGCAGGCTCCTCTGCCCACCCTGGATGGGCAGCCCCTTTCCCTGCTCCAAGCCCCAGGCTTACTTCAGCTGTTTGCCCAAGGTGGAGCTTTCAAACTGGGCTACATATTCTCTGCCACTATCTTTGACAGCATCCACATACACAGTGGCGAAGTCCTTCACTCTGTCCCATGGGGTCTGGGGGACATCTTGCTGCCAGAAGTGCCGAGCCTGGCTCCCTGGGGGTGAGGAGGAGACACATGTCAAGGCCAGTCCTGGGCTGGGTCTGAGCTGAAATGTTAGACCTGGAGTCGGGAAGGAGAGCAGGGAGAATTCTGTTCTCTGTGCCCAGGAAGGTAATCTGTGGAAGCCAAGAGGCACCTACCTGTCAGGAAGACCAGGGCCACGGCCAGGACCACAGCTTTCATCCTAAGGGTGTGGGTGACCTGAAGAAGAAGGCTGGGTTGAAACCCATGAAAATGACTGTCATGCTCCACATTTGCACACCACATTCAAACCAGTGGAGAGAAGGGTCTAGAGTGAAAAGGGGTCCCAGACACCCACAGTATTGGTTTGGACAGAGTGAGGCATCAACTGGGAGGCACGAGGGAGCCAGCACTAGGACAGGTAGCAGTACTTACCTCGCTGGAGCTCTCCAACAGTCTCTGGGTGTCCAGCTCTTCTTCCCTGGCCTATATATGTCCGTAGGCAGGGGCTGGGCTGCAAGACTGATAAGCTCATCCCTGGCCCTGTCACTGCCTACTTTTCCTGACTATGTGGAACTTAAGAGTTCAAGGATCAGCTCTGTAGGCCGGGCAAACAGAACGGGCAAACAGGAAGCTGCGGGGGCTGCAGAGTTGGGATCAAGGGTTCAGGTGGGGGCAGCGGGGGCGTGGCTACAGACTCAAGGGGCTTCCCAGGGGTAACGCAGTTGCGCCATCTCCTGTGCTCCTGTGTGTTTTTGCTGCCCTCTGAGCCTGGAGCAGGGTGAGGTGGGGAAGTTTGTGCTCCTGCAGTCATATCTCCGCCCCCCAATTTTTTTTTGCATTCCGAGGAGTTGTCCCTTCCACCTCACCCTGGTCCGCCAGGTAGGGGGTGCCTCTCTCTGCAGAGGCATCCTGATAGGCCTCCCAGCCCTAAAGCCAAGAACAGTGGAGGCTCCAGGAAATTGCCTGGGTGAAATGCAGAGGGGCCCAGGGCTCCAGGCTGAGGGTGAAGACCCCTCCGGTGCTTCAGAAGACGTGACAGAGGCCAGCATGGAGTTGTCAGCTTTCTCCCTTGTTCTTTCCTTTAGGTGACAAGGTCTTTCTGTGGAGCTCAAGTCGAGCTCTATCTAACTCAAGATAATCCTACCTCATCCTTTCAAGTGTTAGAACATGCCACCAAGCCTAGCTTTAAAGTGTGTGTGTGTGTGTGTGTGTGTGTGTGTGTATGTGTGTGTGTCTTTCTCTGGGAAGGGAAACTTGTCCCCATGTTAATCAAGGAGTCTACTATGGAGTTTTTACCCCAGACCTTCGAGTTGCCAATGTTCTTGTTATGTGTTGACAGTTAGCCAGCCTCCCCTCCAAAGACAGCCTCATCATATACCATGACCAACAAAAGGGGCTGATGTTCAGTGATGATATGCCTTCCCAGAGTGGTGAGGGCCTAGGCTCAAGCCTCAGTTTGGGAGAGCTGGGGAGCTGGGTTTGGTGGGCTGAGTATGACATGTGGCCCATGTCCTCAGTCCTTGCACTTGGGAGATCACTGCCTTGGCACATAGCAAGACTGAGGCCAACCTGGGCTACATGAGCATATCTTACAAACCACAGATCATACATAAAAACCTCATCATGGAAGCTGTGACTTTCCAAGCTAAAAGGAACTTTTGAGCCCATCTGTTGGGTCCTCTCCTATGAACTTCCTTCCAAAAGAGGAACTGACTGAGAATGGAAGGAATTTGCTATGTCCCTCATCTCTCAGCCTTAGAGGCACGGATGGACTTCGAGCCCAGGTCTCTGCACTTGGGACCCAGGGTAGGAATGTACCCTGCCCATCTCCCTAGGAAACTCCCCTGCTCTCTAGAAACCAGCCCAGAGTCTGTCCACTAGCTCTGGGAGTGGCTGGGCTCCAGGCCGCTCCCACCCCAGGAGGCTTTGTTACCAGAGAGAACCTTGGTTTGAACCCCTGAGCTCTGCAACTTATTCGCCAGGTGACCTGGACAGGTTACATAACCTCCCCACCCCGGGGCTTATCTGCCAAGGGGAGATAGTGACAGAACATGTCATGCCTTCCTTATGATCCCAGTCACCGTGTGGGAAGCAGAATGACAGGATAGAAAAGATGTGTGTGCGCTTCCTAATGCTAGGAGCCTGTGCCTTTTGCCCAACCTGGCAAATGTGATAAGGTGACTTGAGCTGAAGAGTAGCCTGGGCTATCCAGAGGTCACAGTAATCACAAGGGTCCTTCATTATGCAAGAGGAGGCAGGAGGACCCAAGCCAAGGAGAAATGTGAGAATGGGAACAAGGGAAAGCAGTGTGAGTGTGGGGGTGATGAGCCAGGGGGGTTGGGCTGCCCATCCATGGATGGTGGAGGAAGGAAGGGAAGGTGCACATTTTCCTGAAGAGCAGTTTTCAGACGGGACACTACCCCAATGATACCATGCTTTTAACCATGCGTTGAACTTCTGAACTCCAGAGCCAGATTTGTGTTATTAACCATGGAATTTGAATGCATTTCAAGCAAAACTGTTGAAAGGTAATCAACAGTAAATGGCAACTGTTCTGTGTCTCAGAATCCCGCTTTCACTGCCATGAACACATTTGCGTTATTAGGCCGTAGCCTGTGACCCCAGCTGCTGGCAGCAGAAATGGGGCAGGCAGGTGCCTAGCTTGCAGGTGCTGTGATACAGGGCATCTTTTTCAGGTTGAAACCAGTCCTAGAGGCCTGTGGGAGGAGTAGCTTCCACGAGCTCTGGGGGCTGGGGGTCAGGAATCTGAGAAGCTTATCTGCTAGCCTCCAGGCTGCTTCCTACAGTCTTAACTTTTTCTTTGGCTCATTACTGAAATCCTGGTGGCTAATCCTAATTACACCTAACATTTGCTCAGTTCTGCTGTCCTCAACTCACTTTCTACCAGTAAACTGGAGACATTCCTGTAGGGTCGGAGGCAGGGTCTTTTCCCTTGGTATTTTACCTGTCAGAAAACTGCAGCTCAGAGCTGCTAGGAACATTCTTGGCCCTCAACTTTGAGATGGTGCCCATATAGCTGGGAATCGTTGTGCCCAGTTTGTCCAGTATTCTGTCTGTAATAAAAGCAATGGCATTTTCTTGTCCAGTGACTACTTTGCCACATATGAACCCATCTCTTAAATGAGAAAAAAGTTTTTGATGCTCATCATCTTCTTTGAAGTTGAAAGGGGGTGCTGCCAGAAGCTGACATGTCTCATTGTCAAAAGACTTCCAGATTAATAAAATATCTTTACATGCCATATTCCATAGATCTCTGAGGTTTTGGAGACCATCTGTTTATCTCTAGTATACCTGAACTGTTTGTTTCTAGTTATATACTAACTGATTTATTTAGAAAAACATCTGTGATCAATTGAATTAGTACCTAACAAAATCATAAGTTTGATTAACTACTAGTTTGTATTTCTTAATTATCCTAAACAGTTTATAGAAGCTTTCAAAAGGACTAGAACTGCATATAACATTTTTAAGAATTATATAGATACAGTATCTTAAAAGGAGTTGATACATAGTGTGATGTAACAAAAATATAACCTTAATTATATATCAAAAAATTAAAGATTTTAAGAGTAGATTTAATAATTTATCTTTTATTATAACTTTGAATGTTAAATGTTTAATATTTTATTATGCAAGGCCTGAACATCAATAGTAACATTAACATTTTTATATGTTGGTTGCTTGAAAAAAATTATTCCTTCCTCTTTATTAGCCATCAGCCATCTGATTGCCTGCTATGGCTGACCATCAATTTGCATCTCCCAGTTATCTTTAATAATCTGCAATAATTTAATACAACCATCCATGAGGCAATTGACAATATGCATGTTTCAATAATCTTTAACAGTTCATAATAAAATGATAGCCATTGAACTAAAGTTCCTTGAACATTAAGATCTCTAAGTATAGAGGCTGGGATCTTCCCTGACTTCCATATGGCACACTGCAACAGAATATAATTGTTCCCTGTATGACCCAGTTTACAAAGAAAAAAAAAAAAAAAAAGCTATTGCTTAATACTGTTAGTAAAAACAAGAAGGTTAAATATATATCTTTAAATATGTCTTTGTTAGCCTGAATAGGCCTTATGAGTTAGTGATTTTTATTTTATAAAGAAGGTCATTTGATTAATTTATTTATAGCCTTTAACATTTTTTATTTTCATTAGGGATATATTTCATATAACGGTTAACAATGACTTGAACTGATCGTCAGCATAACCCTGGGCTGACGTGGAGCTGCAGTTCTCTTTCCCTCTGTAAAGAGCATAAGCAAAGATTTTGCACTGAAGAATCACCAGCCTTTTAAATGAAGAAAACAAACCAGAATTAACCTAATATTGTCAAAATTCAACATATTTCATAGTTCCTTTCCCAATCATTATTTGCAGGTATGAGAAGCCAATGCAAATACAGTTCACTGTATAAAAAGCACTCTGGCTTTTTATACATACTCTGACCTTCCATAACATTCTATATGCCTTCAGGTTAGGCTTTGCCTAGCTGCATTGCTCTGGTTTAACCAGACATTTTTATTTTAGACAAGTTATTCTTTCTTTTTCTTTTATTATCCTAGTCTCCTGCTTTTTCTCTTGCTTTTCAGATAACATAAAAACTTCCATCAAAATCCTTCTCATTATTTTTTACTAAATCATTTCATGGGTTTTTATCATCCTGACATGCTACATTGTAAAAACTGCAGTTTTCTTAATTGGCTCAAACAGTATGGCTTGGTTTCATTTGATACAATTAATAAAATAAATATCAAGGTCTTTTGACCTTCCCCAAAGTTTTGAGAAACTGTTCCAAGTTCTTTGTTAGACTGCCCAAGGTCATTATTTTAAAATACCTGATAAACTTTAAAATGTTTCATGGCCTTAAAACATTTAAACATTTTGTTAAAGCTGTTTTTGCAATATTAAAATAAAGTACCTTCTTAAGAGCATAACTATAGTTTTTAGAAGTCAAAACCAAATTTTATCAGTGTAAACAATTCAGTGTCTCTAAACTCAACACCAGGTTTATTATTTTGATGCTATAAACTTTGGCTGCCAGCAAGAAAATTCTTGTATACAAACACATGGAGGTGCGGCTCTAATGTCTCATATAAACAGAGTTTCAAACCTCATTTTTTTTTTTTTTATAAACCTGGTTTCTAAGACAAGACAGAAATTATGTAAAATCTTATCCCAATTTATATTACTTTTGGAAACTTTAATTTTTTTTTTTTAGTGGGCTCATGCCATTTGTTGTTCAGAATGGCTCCAACCCTAAATTACAAGTTTAAGTTACCTTTTTGTTACAGATGTTACAGATTTTTAACATACTTAATAACAAATAATCTACAATCAAGGCATATAGAACAAAGCAAACATATATTCAAAACAGACAGACAAAGCTTTTCTTACCAGAGAAGCAGAGAAGTTGCCCCTGTCCCCCTCTTTAAAAATGACTTATTTATGTCCATCAGTGTGAAAATGCCAAATCCCTTGGAAATGGTGA